TGTTATAAAAGAAATACAGAACTTAAGTACCTATTCCAATAGATTTCAAAGAATGGTCACTTTCAAGTGGTAATAAAATTTTCCTACAAACGTAGATTGGATTCCATGATTGAAAACCGACACTAGATACGAGAGCGGTGAACGAGTTGTGATACGACATGTAATACGACATTTTTGTTATGTTCTTGTTTCAAATGGTTTATAGCTATCTCTGTTTTTGAATATTGTTTAATTTAAGCTATCCAGCAGCTGTAGCCAAATGCCTTTTAGCGCTTGTCTATATGTAGAATAGAAAACCAAATTATATGGTATTGACGTAAATTTTGACACTTGTCAGTGTCATCCCCTTACATTTAGTTTTGTACTCTCTCTGTAGACAAGCGCTAAAGTGGCGTTTGTCTAAAGACACAGTTTATGAACAGGTTTGACATTTCATGTATCTAATTTAGTTGTGTATTTCGTGGTGACCCTAAGTAAGAGAGACCCTTTAAGTCGCCCGTTTCTCATGCACGATAGTGCAGATTCAACACCTACCAAGGGCAAGTATCATTGTGACATTTTCCAAGTTCTAAGATTTTAGACACCACAGACAACCGGTGAAGAAAAACATCGTGAAGAAACCTGGGCTTATAATATCTAATTATAAGTTAGAAATCGCCAACCCGCATTAAGCAAGCGTGTTGATTAATGCTCAAACCTTCTCCGTGTGAGTGCCTTTGGTTAGCAGTGACCACATAAAGGCCGTTGTTGATGATGATGATGATAAGTACAGGGTTGGTACATGTACCCGGTAAGTATAGCAATAGGTTTACTCTGTCTTATACGAGCCGTTGTTATTTTGTCATTGTCTAAATATACTTATGAATTCCAAAGGGGAAGGACTTTGAAAGGCTTCGGTTATTTAACTTCATATACATAACAACAAAAACACTATATTTTGTACTCATTAAATTCTTGTTTTATATGTACAAAACGTTGCCCCGCACTAGGATTATCTCCTGTGTCGTGGCTACGTTTACAAACATACAATATCATATGTATACACATGACACCCAGAATCGAAACAACAATTTGTGGATCACGCAAAGTCTTGTTCCGTGCAGGAAATGAACCCGCTACACGTTACACGGCAGCTGATTGCCCAACCAACGCAACAACAGTGCAATCATTTTGAGTAATCAAAGTTGAGTGCAACTTTTTTTTTTATGGCATAAGCCGGTATACGAGCAGACGGATCACCTGATGGTAAGCAATCGGCGTCGCCCATGGACACTTGGAACACCAGAGGCGTTACAAGTGCGTCCCCAGCTTTTTGGGGATTAGGAGTTTGAGGATCGTTGGGGATTCAGGTATTGGGGAGATTGGGGAAGGGGAAGGTAATTGGGCCTCCGGTAACCTCACTCACACGACGAAACACAACGCAAGCGTTGCTTCACGTCGGTTTTCTGTGAGGCCGTGGTATCACTCCGGGCGAGCCCGCCCATTCGTGCCGAAGTATGGCTCTCCCACTACAAAAATCAATGACCCAGGATAGCTAAATTTAGAAGACATACCTTATCAAATAGTTGGGACATAATATTGAATGAACGGTGTGATCTTATTACAGTTATTGGGTATTAAAGGGTTTTCGGAATTTTTAGACCCTTTCTTGCTCTTTTTGTCTCTGTTATTATATTTAATTTCAATAAAGTTTTGTCTGGTTTATTGAGAGGTGTGATACGAATGGTACTGGTAGTATTTTTAATTCTGATGTGATCCTGGTGGCCATAACCGCTTGAATGCATCGATATGAGACACAATAAAAACTATATAGTGACTTACGTGGATCCACGTTTAGACACACGACGTGTTAAGCGTGCCTGCAAGTAGAATGGGTATCCATTACATTAGAAGTCACTGACAAACGGTAAAGGAAAACATCGTGAGGAAACCTGGACTTATAATTTCTAATTATAAGTTTGAAATCGCCAACCCGCAATGAGCAAGCGTGGTGATTAATGCTCAAACCTTCTCCGTGTGAGAAGAGGCTTTGCTTAGCAGTGGGCATTTAAGGGCTGTTGATGATGAAAATCAGAAGAGATACAGCACTGATTTCACATTATTTTATAACTAACATTCATATTAATGCACCTCGCGCGTAAATTGTTACATTTTTTTTGTATTTCATATAACATTGCGATTAAAAAGTAACACATCGTTTGGTCGGTACGCTCGCTAGAGTAAGGTAATGAATTTCAAACAAATTGCGTTGTAAACATTTTGTTTGTTTTGTAGAAAACGAGAAAATAAGTAAATTCACCATAACTTCCCTTCTCGTAACAAAACTAATGAAAAGTTATAAAAGAAAAGAAAAATATCTTTCTTCTTTTATCTTTTGCTGGAGCTTTAAATGGATAGTTGTAAGTGTGAAATGCGTGCACCGGCGAGTGTGGGATAAGTGATAGTGGGTACCGGACAACATGTAATTGCAAAGATGGTCCAAGTTATACACTTATTTCGCGATAATATGGAGTCTGTAAATAGTTGTAGTGTGGGAGAGCCATACTTCGGCACTAATGGGCCGGCTCGACCGGAGTGATACCACGGCCACACAGAAAACCGTCATGAAGCAACGCTTGTGTTGTGTTTCGTCGTGTGAGTGAGGTTACCGGAGGTCCAATAACCCTCCCCTTCCCCAATCTCCCCAATCCCTGAATCCTAACGATCCTCAAACTCCTAATTCCCAAATGGCCGGTAACGCACTTGTAACGCCTATGGTGTTCCAGGTGTCTATGGGCGACGCCGGTTGCTTACCATCAGGTGATCCGTCAGCTCGTTTACCGGCTTATGCCATAAAAAAATATATACATTAACATAAGAGACTCATTCACAAAACACTCGTATAATCACTTAATAATCAAGAATGTCGAAATAAATATATATAATCAACTGATAATAGTGTAAAGTTCATGGCTATTAAACGGCTACCTGATTGTTGATTGCGAATACGATTATTATGTTTGTAAAACTAATAGGTAACATAATGCTTTAGAGGAAAGTGACCAAATATGGAATAGTATCCCTAATATGGGATACCGGCAATACTAACAAACTATAATTCACACCAGCAAGAAACACTGTTTGTCTTTTTGTTTCTATCCCCATCTGCGGGTACAGGCTGTGACATATCAGTCGAGTGAGCCCTTTCGTCAATATTGCAGTGTTTTGTTTTGCCGCTTCTGCACAACTTTCTAACGTATGTGAAAGATACGCATTCTTCGTTTAAAAAGTGCACATCGTATTGTTTTTATAACGTTTAGAGACATTTTAGATGTTCTTTTGTCGATTTCGGTGGTATTTAATTGTATTTATTTCTTAAATATAAAAATATTAATGTCAGTTTAAAGTCGTTGCAAAATCCAATTATGGAATAGTCCATCGTTTTGTTTGATACAGACAGTGAGCCCGATGCTTTGATAGGAAATACAACTCCAGACTCTGAAGATTCGGAGTGTACTTTCTGTGGTATTCTGTTTTCAAATGATACTCATAGAGAAACATGGGTCAAGTGCCTCATATGTGGACTCTGGGCACATATTGATTGCCCCGGAGCAGAGACTGGTGCCTGGATTTGTGACTTTTGAAAATACGTTGTGATCTTTTCTATATTGTACCAACCTTTCTAAAGAGTTTTATGTAAGTTCCGGTTTAGTTTTAATCGTATTTACAGCACTTATTCCATATTTGGGGTACCTATTCCAAATTTAGGTAACATTATTGTCGTTTAGGTTTTTTTTTTAATTTTTAACCCAAAAGTATTAAAAGT